CAGAACAGGAAAATCTCAGAAAACAAGGTGGCGTGAACAGCAGCAGCTATGGATTTTTTTTTATTGGTCTAAGCTGATAACTCAAACATACATTTCTGCTGATATATGAGCACAAAATGTGACATTCTGGTTTATCTTAAGGGAACTGCCAGAACTGTTTAAGTGCCAAAGTTGTTTGCCCTGCAGGAAAGCTGAAACCTTACTCTTTGTGTAAGCAAATCTCATCCCAGGAAAAGTGGGAGGAGATGAAGATGAAAGTAGATCCAGGATGTGTTGCTTTATGATTCACTCCCGACTTTACTTCTACACATACCAATCAAATGACCATGCAATGAGCTGAGTGAGCTGCCTGGGAGGTTTGAGTCTGAGGGGAAAGGAATAAAAGATTACACTTTCAGTCACCTGTCTCCCTTCCACCCGTCCTACTTGCTCTCTCAACTCCTGCTCTCTGTTCCTCCCTCTCTTCCTGCATTTTTCCCAGACTGAGGCGTCTATGGACCCTCTGGCTCCGCTGCTTTCGTCAGTGACTTGGTGTGCTCTGAGAACTTTGTGAACTCTGTGTTTGAGTGGGAAGGGAGAGAAAGGCAAGCCGTTGATGGGACGCCGCCCGGCAGCCCTGGAAACAGCATCGGCACTCTTCGCTGCTGATAATCCTCCCTCCAGGCCATGACAAAGCAGCACCTTCTTCTCACCCCCCTGGCCCTGCTGGGACTCCTTCTGGGGTTTGCAGATCTCAACCTTGGTTCTGTTGGTGAGGATGAGGATTACTATATGCAAGAGCTGCTGACAAGGGATCAATACAATCAGGTGCAAGAGTTGGAGAAACCTATTTCCTTGACACCTGATGGACATGATCATTCAGGACAAACCACAGCCAAGAAGGTACCAAAAGGAAAGACAGAGATCAATAAGAAGACAGATAAAACCACAGATGATGCAAAAACAGGTAAAAGCATGGTCATTTCTTTGAAAAAATGCATTTTCTCGTGTAAAAAGACCAAAGTTCCAGGCACATTTTAGCAAAAATATCTCAAAGTTAAAGTTAACTATCTAATATTTTTTACAAGTTTGAAGAAGTATTTTCAGTAAGATTAGGATCACATCACAAGTGAATACTACATTTAAATGGAATGATTTATCAAAAATGATAAATCATGTCTTTAAATTGATAAATTATTTTAGAGTTAGAGTCCAGTTGAACTTGTCAATGTGAAAGTATTAATTTCCTCAAAAGGGTATCTAAAACACTGTTTAAGATATGCTCCAGAATGACTTCCTGGGGTATCCTCCCAGTCCCTACTCAGCATGCACAAATCTCAGTGATATATCTGTTTGGCCTCTGCACAGCAGCAGAGCTAAAAGCGTCATGCTTTATAGAAGTCAGGAGGAGGTGGTGAAGAACATGTGAAATCCATACGGTCTCAGTGCGGTCCATGTGGAAACGGGGAGCACAAGCCTCACCCGAGGGGAATCTCAGTTTGTGCAGTGGCAGGTTTTGTCGGCACGTTTGAAATACAGCCAGATGATTGGAGGACAGTAGGGGGCGTGAGGGTTTCTGTTGTTTGGTGGCAGATTGGGCTGAGCAGCTGTGCAGGCAGTGAGGTCATGTTTCAGGCATCTGGCTTCACATGTTTCGGTAGGTTTACCTGCCGCAGGTCGGAGTGCAAGAGAGAGATGAAAGTCATGAAACTCACAACACTAAGAGCTTTTAAACAAGTCTAGGATCAGACAGCTTGGATGCACTTTGATTCAGTGTTGTTGACCGGCAAACTTAGCAACACAAATATTCTCCACGTCATTCTTACAGGAACATTTTAGCATCTATCTATCCTTTGTTTTGGTTTTGTAGAACAGATCTTTTCTTTTTTAATTTCACAGATGTTATAGACTTCCAGGAGTAGTGAGGTACAAATCAGACAACTGCAAAGAGCATACAATGTAGCATCAAGAAACTGGAGTTGACTTCTTGTTATATGTCCTGCAAGAGCTAGTTTGTACTTAATGGAAATGTCACCAGTTTTGCACACATGATAACATACTATATGCTGAACACTGTATTTTTACCCTAGACAGTTCATGCCTGCTTCACTATATGTAAAATGTTTTCTTTCACTTCACTTTTTAGTTTTAAAAGGCGAAACAAGTTGTAAATGTTTCTTATAATATGCAGTGTTGCATTAACATCTTTTTGGATGTCAAAGAATGAAAATTGTGTGTATATTGCTCTATACATTGAAGCAGCTATGCGTGCAAACTTTGAATGCACATGAGGAAAAGGGTAAAATTGTCATGAGTACTGAGCGTGAAAGCCTTGTGTGTCTCTCTCCATAGGCTTTCATTGCTTATTGAATGCTTCTTAACTAGCGGTAATCTCCTCTTCCTGCTGTGTCGCCTGTTGTGCACCGATGTGTCGTTGGCCATATGTCGGAACCCTCTACGATCATAAATGCTGAACCACATCTGCAGCTCAGAGCACTGGAGAGGATTTAACCTGTCCCTGAATTGAGATGAAGATAAAGACTTTCAGATGTGAGAGAGGTTGTTGTCATATGGGGCTTTTCCTGACCTGAGACTCCCTTAGAATGGAACACACTGTTCACTGTCATCTTCCATTTGTAGAATGCAAATAGATTGTGCCTCATTTTGTGATTAATTGAAGTCAGGAGACAGTCATCTCATAAATGACATCTCATTGAATTAATGATAGTAAAGGGGTGAATATTAATGAATAACAAGCTGATGTGAGGAGAGGAGGAAGTTTTCCAATCCTCTGCCTAGGAAATAACTTTCTCCACATATGCAAGGCTGAACCATCCAAGGCTTCTTTATTTTCTCTCTTTGAACTTTTTCCTTTCTAATGTTGTTTTAAAGTTCTGAATGTCAACGTTTTATTGTCACATATTAATGATTCTTTTCTCGTTCAAATGCTATTTCCTTACTTAGCGAAAGCACCCAACAAAAAGGCAGAGAAGAGCAAGAAGAGCACACTGAAAAATTCAAACAGCATTACTGAAGGAGACAGACAATACAGCTCGATAAAAGAGGGTGAGTGAAAAAGCAGCAGCACTCCCTTATAATGGGTATTTCATGATCTCATAAAAATTCATCTTTCCTCCAA